GTACTGACTCTATGGCACCTAGCAATAACAACAACAAATCTTTACAGGAACAGAATGCCTCATCTTTCTCCCGTGGAATGGCTGGGAGTTTCGAACTGCTGACCTTGAAGTTAGCAGCCCGACTCATAACCACTATGCTAACAGAGATGCACTAGTATTATTCCAGGTTTGCAGAAGAGACAAGTGAGACATAGAAATGTTGTTTACCCATGTTCACACAGCTAATAGTGACAAAATCAGAATTTTAACCCAATTCTATGTAAAGCTAAAACTTACAGTCCAAGCTTTCCTGACATACCATACACCAGAGCTTCTCACACTTTACTGTGCAATTGAACCATCTGAGGTTCTGGTTACAATGCAGATTCCGATTCAGGAGATCTGGGTAGGTGCCTGAGATTCTGCATTTGTAACTAATTCCCAAGTGTGTGAGGCACTGTTTCCCAGACCACACTAAACGAGATGACTGCACTCTACTCCTTTTACTAACCTGGTGTGTGGCTGTGGGTTAATGTGCTGGACTGAAAAGTCACTTGAACCACAAGGTTGGCAGTTCTAACTCACCAGCCATTCCTTGGAAACCCTGTACAGGGTTGCTATGGGTCAGAATTGGCTCGATGGCACTTAACAACATGTTCATTTTACTCTGTCTATAAACATTCAAGGGAGCCCTGGTGAAGCAGTGGGGTAAGCATTGGGGTGCTAACTCAAAAGTTAGAATAACTAGAAAGAATCTCAACAAATACACAAAAGAGCTAAACAACACAATCAACCAACTTCACCTCATAGACATATATACTCAACCCAAGAACAACTCAATACACATTCTTTTCCAGTGCACATGCAACATTCTCCAGAACAGACTACATGTTAAGCCACAAAGCAAACCTCATTAATTTAAAAACACCAAAATTCTACAAAGCCTCTTTTCAGATCACAGTGGTATAAAACTAAAAATCAACAATAAAAGATCAAGGGGGGAAAAAACAAATATATGGAAATTGAACAACACCCTGCTTAGAAGCAATTGGGTAATTGGTCAAATAAAAAATATAGTAAGATAAATTCTTTGAGTCAAATTAGGACTAAAACACAACCTTTGCAACATAGCAATAAATGCAAAAGAAGCAAGAATCAAAATCAACATCTTAACCAAATATTTTCAACAATTAGAAAAAAAGCAACAAAGTAAGCCTATAGTCACATGGAGAAAAGAAATAATAAAAGTTGAAACAGAAATAAATGAAAAACGGAATCAACAAGACAAGAAGCTGGCTCTTTGAACGGATTAGTAAAATGGATAAACCACTGGCAAACAAAAGCAAAGGAGAAAATACAATTAAGAAATAAGAAATTACATGGGTGATGTTGCAATAGAACCAATAGAAATAAAAAGGATAATAAAAGAATACTATGAAGAATTGCATACTCCTGCAAATTTGAAAACTTAGAAGAAATGAACAAATTTCTAGAAACACACAAGTTACCTAAACTAACACAGGATGAAGTAGAAAAGTCGAACAGGCCTATCACAAGAGAAGACATTGATCAAGTCATTGAAAAACTCCCAACTAAAAAAAGCCCATACCCAGATGGCTTTACTGAACTCTACCAAACATTCAGACAGGAGCTGTTACCAATTCTACTCAAACTAACTATTCCATAAGATAGAAAAGGATGGAAAACTTCCAAATTCAGTTTATAAAGCAAGCATATATCTCTGATCTTATAACCAGGCAAAGACATTACTAAGAAAGAAATTTTAGATCAATATCCCTCGTGAACATAGATGCAAAAATTTGCAGCAAAAACCTAGCAAACAGAATCCAACAATATATAAAAAATATAATAAAATAAATACATTATGGCCAAGTAGCACTTATACCATGTATGTAGGGATGGTTCAATATTAGAAAAATAATCAATGTACTCTACCACATAGATAAAAACAAAGGGAAAAATCACATGATCATATCAATTGATGCATAAAAGGCATTTGATGGAATCCAACACTCATTCCTAATAAAAAACACTCAACAAAATAGGAATGCAAGAGAAATTTCTCAACATAATTAAGGGCATATATACAAAACCAACAGGCAACATCACTTACAATAGTGAGAAAAATGAAGTTATTCCCACTGCAAACAGGAACCACACAAGGATGCCCTTTATCACTATTCCTAATCAATATTGTGCTGGAAGTCCTAACCAGAGCTATAAAGCAAGAACAGGAAATTAAAGGCATCCAAATTGGTAAGAAAGAAGTAAAATTCTATTTGCAGATGATATGATCCTTTACTTAGAAAATCCCAAAGACTCTGCAAGAAAATTATTCAAACTCATCCATAGATTTGGCAAAGTGGCAGGGTGCAACATCAACATAAAAAAATCAACTGGATTCCTTTACACTAATAGAGCTCTGAAAGGAAATCAGAACAATACCATCTACAATTGCCACTCAAATGATGAAACACTTGGGAGCAAATCTAACCAGAGAAACAAAAAAACCTATACAAAGGAAATTACAAAACATCACTACAAGAAACCAAAAGAGATCTGCAGAAATGGAGGCATATACCGATAGGAAGATTTAACCTTGTGAAAATGTCAACACTATCCAAAGCAATCTGTAGATACCATGTTATCCCAATCCAGATTCCAACATCATTGTTTAAAGAAATGGAAAAATTAAACACTAACTTTATATGGGAAGGAACGAGACCCCAGATAAGCAAAGCATTATTTAAAAAGAAATAAGAGGCCTCTCTCTTCTAAATCTCAAAACGTAGCACACAGCCACACCAGTCAAAACAGCTGGTACTGGTACAATGAAAGACACATAGATCAATAGAATCGAATTGAGGACCCGGAAGTAAATCCATCCACTTACTGTCAATTGATCTTCAACAAAAGGTCAAAATGCATTAAATGAGGAAGACATAAATAGTGTCTTCAACAAATGGTGCTGGCAAAATTGGAAACCCATTTGCAGTAATATGAAACAAGAGCTATATCTTATAACATATACAAAAATGACCTCAGCGTGGATTAAAGACCTAAATGTAAAACCTAGAACTATACAAATCATCAGTGAAAAAATAGGGACAAACTTAGGCACTATGGTACAGGAATAAATAAACTAACATAACTGAAAACCCACAAACAGAAGACAAATTAGATGACTGGGACCTTCTAAAAGTTAGACACGTAAGTGCATTAAAAGATTTCACCAAAAGGTGCAAAGTAAGAGCCCAGATTGGGAAAAAATATTTGGCAATGACATACCAGACAAAGAATCACACTCCAAAATTTATAGAACACGTCAACGCCTCAACAAATAGACAAATAATCCAATTAAAAAGTGGGCAGATGGTATGAACGGACAATTCACAAAAGAAGATATTCAGACAGCCAACAAACATATGAAGAAATGTTCACAATCATTAGCCATTGTTGGTGGTGGTTGTTAAATGCCATCGAGTCAGTTCCAACTCATAGTGACTCTGTATATGCCTTCCAAGAAGTGGCTGGTAAGTTTGAACTGCTGACCTTGTGGTTCAAAGCGACTTTTTGGTCCAGTGCTTTAGCCCACAGTGCCACCCCAGGACTCCTTTAAAATCTCTTAAATGTCTTCCACAGAAGCAGATTTTTCTTTGATTTCCCTTGTGTTAGTAAATCCTTTAGGAATTATTCTCCCTAAAAAGCTTAATCTTCACAATCACATGTTGAAGTCTTTAGCATATATTAAGCGCCTTTGAGTCATAGCAACCCTGTATATTCCAAGGAACAGCTGGTGGGTTTGAACCACTGACTTTTTGCTAGCAATCCAGGCTGATTCCACAGCACCACACCAGGACTGTTCTAATTCAGAGCTCTAAAATTACTTTTAAGAAAGTCACAATGTTGTTAAGTGTCATCAAGTCGGTTCTGACTCACAGAGACTCCAGTGCATCATTCTACAGTGCCACACTAGGACTCTAGGTTAAATGTTGTTTTCAAGTGCTGCTGAGTCGGTTCTGAAGCATAGCAACCCTGTATAGAGGTTCCGAGAACTTGCTGGTGAGCCTGAACTGCCAACCTTGCAGTTCAAACCAACTTTGCATTCCAGTGCACTAACCCACAGCGCCAAACCAGAACTCCAGGCTAAATGTTAAGTGCCATCGAGTTGGTTCTGACCCATAGCGTCCCTGTAGGGTTTCCAAGGAGTGGCTGATGAGCTAGAACTGCTGACCTTGTGGTTCAAACCAACCTTGCAGTCCAGCGCATTAAGCCACAATGCCACACCAGGTCTCCAGAATTAGATTTTTTATGACTTCTTTCCAGCTCATTTTCTTGTCGTGTTTGGTCTCGGCCAGCTTTTGATAGGGAAGAGTGGAGTTATGGTTTGAGAAAGCTCATCATTGCATGGAGCAGGAATGAGAGAAAAGAGCATTGATTTAAGCGTTTCTCAAAGTGTGGGGTCTCCTGACAAGAGGCATCAACATCCCCTGGGAACTTATTAGAAATGCAAATTCTCAGCCATCCAGGTGGTTCCTTTGAAGTTTAAAGGACTTGGTGGCTGTGATGTAGTGTTTGCTGGAGTAGAGATCCCCTTCAGGATTTTACAAACAACTGATTGAAAGTAATTCCCCTTTACTGGCTTCTAGTGACCCTCCAAGTACATATCCCATTTACAAGTCTGTTCTCTCATTTATCATTTATGGGCATATATTATCTACATTACTCCACAGGGCTGACAATTTGGTATTAGACTTGCTAATGAGCCACAACCAGGGGCTCATGCTGTCTTTCAGTGCAGTCACAGGTACACTGCCTGCAGCAGTGGGGAGCTTAGCATTCCCACTTCTTCCACTTTGTGCTCTCAGGAAATAAAGAAGGGGAGGGTCCAGTGGTGTCATTTGACACTGACTTGACGACAGAGTACTTATTCTGTCTACAAAAGACAAGCCCAAATAAGACGCTAACTTTTGTAAAGAGGAGCTGGATGGGGAAAGGTGATGCTGACAGCTCCTTTTGCAGACTCCAACTCCAGCACCATGAATGTGTCCTTTGCTCACCTCCACTTTGCAGGAGGCTACCTGCCATCTGACTCCAAGGACTGGAGGACAATAGTCCCAGCTCTCTTGGTGGCTGTCTGCCTGGTGGGCTTCGTGGGGAACCTGTGTGTGATTGGCATCCTCCTTCACGGTGCTTGGAAAGGAAAGTCATCCATGATCCACTCTCTGATTCTGAATCTCAGTCTGGCTGATCTCTCTCTTCTGCTGTTTGCTGCACCAGCCCGTGCTATAGCATATTCCAAAGGTGTTTGGGATCTAGGCTGGTTTGTCTGCAAATCCTCCGACTGGTTCATCCACGCGTGCATGGCAGCCAAGAGTCTGACCATCATTGTAGTGGCCAAAGTATGCTTCATGTATGCAAGTAACCCAGCCAAGACAGTAAGTATCCATAACTGCACCATCTGGTCCATACTGGCAGCCATCTGGGCTGTGGCTAGCCTGTTACCCCTGCCAGAATGGTTTTTCAGCACCACCAGGCATCACGCAGGTGTGGACATGTGTATCATGGAAGTACCAGCTGTGGCTGAAGAGTTCATGTCTATGTTTGGTAAGCTCTATCCTCTTCTGGTATTTTTCCTTCCATTACTCGTTGCCAGCTTTTATTTCTGGAAAGCTTATGGCCGATGTCAGAAACGGGGAACTAAAACTCATAATCTTAGAAATCAGATCCGTTCAAAGCAACTCACAGTGATGCTGCTGAGCATTGCAGTCACTTCTACTATTCTATGGCTCCCGGAATGGATAGCTTGGCTGTGGGTATGGCATATGAAGGCTGGAGGTCCAACCCCACCACAAGGGTTCATAGCCTTGTCTCAAGTCCTAATGTTTTCCATCTCTTCAGCAAATCCCCTTATTTTCCTAGTGGTGTCAGAGGAGTTCAAGGAAGGCCTGAAAGGCTTATGGAAATGGATAAGTCTTTCAAAAAAGGTTCCAACTGCCTCAGAACCACAGGAAACACCAGCTGGTAACTCAGAGGTTCTTCCTGACAATGCGCCATCTCCAGAGTCCCCAATCTCCATACCAGAGAATGAGAAACCCGGCTCTCTCCTCTCCAGCAAAGAGAAAACTGAAAAGGCAGCAATGCCCGTGCTTCCTGACGTGGAACAGTTTTGGCATGAGAGGGACATGGCTCCTACAGCACAAGATAATGACCCTATTCCCTGGGAACATGAAGATCAAGAGACAGGGCACTGTGATAAATAAATTAAGACAGCAAAACAAATGATGATTGTCTTAACGCGTACTACTGCTTTATCAATATTGCTGACTTTGCCATATAAACTACAGCAGTTATTGTTAGAAACAAAAATGCTTCACATCCTGCATTTTCCAAATGTGTAATTTGGTAAGTAGAACATTATGTTAGGATTAATTGTTTAGGAATTATCATCTGGCTGTTTTAAGAACTCATTTTTATTGCTGTATATGTGGAAATATTTGTCACTAGTTCACAATGGCTATCTTTTTAAATGGGGTTTCTTTAGGACCAATACACTGTGTTGGCTAGTTTATCAACCCATTTATCTGAGATCATAACCTCTTTTTCTAGCAGCTTCCTCCTGACTTACTGGCCTAAGTAAACCTATCTAATGTTATTTCAGCAAAGCTTAAAATCTGCTTCCACTCCAGAGATTTTTCCAACATATCGATGTATGTATTTTAATAAGTTACCTACACCTAGTAAGTGGTAATTTACTTAATGAAAATTCATGTAAGATTTGACATAATACTGGCTACAAAACAAACTTTATCTTATTCTAGTTCTGGGCTATTTTCAAACCATGGCTATTTTTGGTTGGGTTTAAATAAATCCACTCTTCCTTATGCAAAAGTATGTTTTGTTGATCTTTTTAAGTCACCTCAATGAGTCTCCAGTTTGAAGATTTTTCTGATAGTCTCCTATTCTGATATGGAGAAACAACTTAAAATAAAAAACCTAACTTCCCAACTATTATTCCAATATGCAGTTCTTATTCTTCCACAAGCTGAAACTTGTTCTTCCCAGTATTTCCTTTCTTTCCAGATGAAACTGTACATTATGGTTTATGATAAAGGTTTTACTGATTAAAGGAAATCCTCCAATACAGAAATAAGCAGATGGTGATCTTTATTGTTAAGACTGTATCAAAGTTATCCCTAACAATGAACCTGAACTCTGATCCACTTTTGGAATTCCTCAGGCACTTTATAAATTTTGCATACCCAAAAAACATATGGTAAAAAACTGAGTTAGCAGCTAAGAATCAATTTTTAGCAAGACAAAGTACACCTAATAAAATATGATTATGAGACATTTCTTCCCTTACTAAAAAAATGTTAAGTTAAGGACATTTATCCATAATCCCTTGTTACTTTATATTGGACCTCTGGGTAGGGAATGCTTTTTAGAGCACACAATGGAGAGTTTGATCCATTATATTAAAAATAAGCTGGTTTTTTTTAAATGCTCAGTCTATGGATTTTATAAATATAGCTGACTTGTCTACCATAATAAAAGTAGGGCTTTCTACTTGGTTCACTACAAATTCTGAGGCTCACAAGATGAAATACGGTACACAATTTAACAAAGTATCCAAGAGATTGTTTCGTGATGAGATACTTCTACATGGGATTAACCTTAAAGTTGTCTGTGATCAAACATTTGAATTAAAAGATATTTATGTTCGTTATGTATAATAAACGTAGAATGTACTCTGCCAGTCTTTGACATCAACTTGTAAACAAATAAAAACAGTGGTTTTACTTCTGATGATTTATGGAGGCTTACTGCCGTCTTTGTCTTAAATTATCATTTCAAAATCATTATCTGGCACAATGGGGAGCTCTGCTAGCTGACACAAGTCTCAGAGTAGCTGAATCATGTATATCAAAGAGTCTGCTAACAAGCACCAAATCAAGATGCAGATACTAGAATCTGATATAAAGTCCTCAGGAGGAGGAGCTGCATTTCTACCATGCACAAATAATGACACCCAACTATTGGAAAGAAAAAGGTAAGAAATTCAAAGAGTTATTTACTAAAGCCATTTTTTTTTTCTTCACAATATGAGAAACAGTAAGGAATTCACAGTAACAAAATAAGCCTTCTAAGAAATTTTATCTTTGTAGGAAAGTCAAATGTCCCTAAACAGTTATATCTCTCTTTCAGCAAATACTCCAGTTTCACTATTAATACAATTTAAAAACCACTCAGTGGATTTGTAGAAATTAACTTAGGGGTAAAAAAAAATATATCGACATAGTACCTTATCAATTTTACAGGTTTAGCCTGAAAATTAATCTCGTGTCTCTACATGCCAGGATAATGCACTGAGCTGTACGGTAGGCTGGAACCAAAAGGTCAGCAATTCAAACTCACCAGCCATTCCTGGGAAACCGTTTATAGGGTCACTGTGAGTCAGAATCACATCGACGGTACTTAACAACAAGATGAGTTCAGGGAATGCACTTTCTCTGTAGGATAAGTAGTGGACTGCGAACCACAAGGTCAGTAGTTGAAGTTCAGCAGATCCTCTGTGGGAGAAAGATGAGGCTTTTGGCTCCTGCAAAGATTTGCGGCCTCAGAAACCTTATAGAGTCATGATTCATCAGACGGGACGGCAATTAACAAAGCTTGCATGATCTCTATAGCACTTCACGGTGATGGTTGTATGCTGTTGAGTCGGTTCTGACATATTGAGCCTGTACAGGGTTTCTGAGGCTGTAAATATTTATAGGTGCAAAAAGCCTCATCTTTCTCCTGTGGAGCAGCTGGTAGATCTAAACTACTGACCTTGCAGTTAGCAGCCCATTAATTCAATAACTACCAGTTTATTACCAAGTAACATAGATGTGCAAGTGTGTATCTATATATTTAACAAATACAGATTTGCTGGCATTCATTCCCAGCAAATTGTCAGTAGGTATGATATAACAGGAAAAATACATTATTCAATTACCATATTTTTATTAAACATTTTATTTATGTGGCACTCTAAAATCGTATGTATTATTAGTTTGCTAATAAATGACAAAACCAAGAAAGCCAAAATAAAAGAAGTCTCAATATATTGCTGAGAGACTGAGCACCAAATGGTCTTTACAAATTCTTTCCCTTTTCCTCAACAAATAACTTATTATTGTATTGAAGCCTTTAAAACTACAAATATTCAAACTTTAAAGTCAACTTCCTTTGTGCCAAACTCCATTTGCTACTTCTTTCAGGAGTAGGTTTCAAATAAGTATTTACAAAGTACTTCACAATAAGAATATACCACCCACATATATAAAAAGAGTTGGTTTATTATAGTTCAAATACATAAACTGAACATTCAAACATCTTAAATTTAAACTTTAGGAACAAAAGTTTAACATTCAAACCAGAGTATAGTTTACAGGGAACCAGAAGGGCAATTTATTGTCTAATCCAGAATATTGATAAATGGTGAATAAAATGTGTTTAACCAGCAGTCCTATTCTGGCCAACCTGTTAATGACTGTGGTTCAATACTGGAGAAGAAATTACTAAACACATTCTTCTCTCAGGCTAAACAACAAGATTTGGCCTATAATTCAGAGGGAGTAATCGAAGCACATTAGTGAATAAACAAAACAAAACAGTTCTTTAGAGACAAAGGTAAAAGTATGTTCATTATATAATCATCTTAGCCTCTGGAAGAATTCAATTTTCAGTGTTTTCCCTTTTACCCGCTTTAAAAAAAAATAAAAAATAAAATAAAAACAAACCCCAACTAAGGTTTTCTTGGAGTCTGGTATTTGTATCCTTCAAGTTCAAATCACATAGGCTTTTACATCTTGCCTGTGTAACACTGCTAGGAAGAACATCACCAAAAGTCACTGACTTCCACACCTCATAAAAGGATGATTTTTAGCTTCAAGAGTTTAGATTTACTAGGACAGCCTATTATTTGAGTATGTATGTCAGTCATGCCACACAAAGAAAAGCATAAATATTTCCAAAGTGTTCTCTGTTCAGACACTGCTCTCAAATGCTTCTCCTTCTGTTCGCCAGATGGTTTTTGCAATAGGTTGTTGACTAATGTACATATATGTCAAAGTCTGAAAACTGGTTCATGCAAGAGTTCTAAATTAACAGATACCCCTGTGGAAGAGTATTCAGAATCATTTTGTTGATCGTCTTGTGGGCTCTGAAGCTGTGGGAGGTGGGGGTGGACCCCGGCGATCCAGGTCATCGACATACGCCACTATCAGTTTACGCCTCTCCTCTGGCACACAGTCCAGCACCAGATACCGCTTGTCGTTCTGCAAAATTTTTTCTACATCTTTCAGGTGCTGATCAGATTCTTGAATTAGCTTTTTAGATCTGAAATAAGAGAAAGAAGTCCAAGAATTACTGGCTGCTGTTCACAGGTCTTTCAGAAATGAGCTGGAAATGTCCATCTAGTTCCTAATTGTGTTTCCATTTTTAAGAAAAATTTCACTGCAGTGGTCACCTTTGTAAGTCGCCTCAGCAAAGACTCCAAGGAGTGAAAGGGCCTCAGAAGCTGAATTACCCTCCCACCCCTACTGGTGGTCCCTCCAGATCAGGGCTGAGGGTGGGTGGGTAAATCTTGCCCGTGCTGTACCTGTTCTGTGGATGAACAGAGGACTTCAGTCTGCAGGGCTGCCAATCCCAGCATCTTTCACAAGCTTTCACTTTCACATCTTTCACTAAATTAACTATAAAAATGTAGAAAGAAGTCTTACTTCACATCTAATTTAAAAGCCCAAGCTGATGCAAAACATTAAGGATCCTGACCAAAAAATCCAAATGACGAAATACCTAAAAACCACACCCTCAGCACTATCTATCCTCCCGTGCATACCCATCATTAAGATGCTGCCAATTTTTCTTTTAAAGAAAGAAAAGCTGTAGCATGAGACAAAAAATGGTTTCCTGCATACTGACTGGTAAGTAATGTAAAATTGCTTTCCTGAAGATAAATTATTGGAGATAGGAAACTACTAGATATGCTCCCGAGAAATTTTAAGGTTTATTTTTAAATTAAAAACTTTATTTGAAAATATCCAGCAAACTGATATCCTCTGAGAAAAATCTTTGGTTGAGCTTATATAAATGATTTCAAGCTTTAGAATGGTTCAACCACACTGAATAATCAGAGGAGGCAAAGATAACTAATGGTGAAGGAATTTAAAAGTCTCTTCATGAAATTACAAATCTTATATAGTTGAGGGTACTCCTA